GGCAAATATTTAAACCTATATAAAATGGAAGACAAAAGTCTTTCCACTTATGCAGCACTCCCACATTCGGCCAGATCGAGAGAAAGAAAAGAGAAAAAGAGAAAAAGAAAAAAGAAAATAAAAGGTAAAAAAAAGTAAACTTATTGATCTTTTTTATCAGATCTATGAAGATCAAATAATTTAATCGCTTTAAGTTAAGAATTAAAGTTATTATACGCGGTAAGAGTTACGCAATCACACCAAAAATTGTATTTTTCTTTAAAAATATCAAAGACAAAAATCTAGAACTAAGATTTGAGAAGCTAAATTTGAACTTTCCTTAGAGTTCTACTATGTGGACTTACGCTATGAGAGGTAGGGTTTCCCTTATTTAATTGTAATTTTAACCTAAAATATGATATATGAAATGGATAAGGTAAGGGTGTATATCACATATTAGATTTTGACTAATGTAACTAGTGCGTCAAATATAGAATTTATAATTAACCTTATAATTAGTAAAATCTTATTATAATTAACTTGGTGTAAATTAATGTTAGCGGTTTAAAGTATGTTAATTGTATATTAGCATGACTTGATGTTTTAATGACATATTAAGTTTAATAAAATTATTAGTTTGTTATGTAATTATGAAATAATATGTATATTAAATGCATATAATTAGTGTGGTGGATTTGTGCTTATATTTATAGAATTAATAAATATGTTGTCATGTTGGAAGTAATAAACATACTAGTTGTTTAAATTGATGTGTTCTCTAGGTGTTTATTTAACTGCTTAGGTGAATACAAGTATGTTAGTTGAGTTGGTAATCTTACGTAACATGATTGTGATTGTGTTGAAAATATTATTATATTGTACTAATTATGTAATAAACATTGTATTGCATTTATGCAAGAGTTGCACTGTATTCATGGGTGTTTGACATGGGTGATAGTGTGTGTATAGTGTGAAACCAATCACCACATAAGTGGTTGATTGTGGGCCCGAAAAAATCGCATCAAGGTCCAGCTGAGTCGCACGAAAAACTAAATAGATAAACGTGTCGGAGTATAACAAGAAGGGTTAGATTCTTCATCGAGTGCAAGACTCGCTTACTTAATTTATACACTTTATAACAATGTAATTCTATAAAAGTGTAACGGCAAAAATGGAGCCGCAAGTGGGATGTCCTAAAAATTCATTGATGATGTGATGTCTCATTAGTGAAATACCATAAATCATCTCTTCACAAAAGACACAAAAAAAAAAATTTAATTAGTTATTGAGTGTACATAGCACTAATAACAAGGGCTTGAAATACCTGGATACTTACGCATGACATTGCATGTGTGAGCCTAAGATGGGGTTTGGTGTTAGTTTTGCTTGCGTGAGTCTCATCTCATTTCATCTCATGACATGACATGATTTATGATATTTATTTATATATGTCTGAAATGATTGTTGCATGTGATATTTCATATGTATTTGGGTTAAGAGGTATTCTCTATAGGAGTTACCATATTGAGCGTTGACTCACCCTAAATGGGAACAATTTTTCGGTACACCACAGGCTTTTACCGAAGACCCTCCTATTGGTTTGCTTTGATGATAGAGCTGGACTGTAATTTTTATTTTGACGTCGTAATCCCTTCATATATGTTTATTTCTGGTTTGTATAATTTTTAATACAAAAATTTATTTATATTTAAAAGGCACATACATATAACTCTTTTTGAGATATTTATTTTTTTATGAATGAATGTACGTAGTGATGATGATTATGGTAATATTCAAAACTATGCAATTGAGTATGGATGAATGAACCCAGTTTGGTCAATGTTATATGATTACACAAGTTGCATTTTTGGTAGAGCTCCCCGTATAAATGAAATTTTGTCCGAACTTTGTTGAGTTATGGATCCCAATAAATGGGATATAACGGCGTAATATCGAATTATACGGTATCTAGAAGCATTATGCAAGTTGATGGATGATTAATGCAGAAATTACAAACACTTAAATTTTGATGCATTACAGAATCTCAATCATTATAAGTAAACCCAAAATATGGAGTCAATTGCTTATGATTTGTGGTGATTTAGTCAATTTAATTGGAAATATATCTTGTGATTGTACTAAAATATGAAGCCCTGCCAGACTGTTTTTGTGTGCACCCATTGAATAAAGTATTGAAAAGGTATAAACTTGAGTCATCAAACAAACAGCCTGCAATTATACAGCATTGGAGTTGTACACTCCAAAGCAACGTGGGCGTAAAGAAGGTGGTAGCACCGACGACTTTGCCTATATTAAGAGTTCAAGTCTTTCGGGTGACAAAAACATGATTTGTTGGTAGGACGAATTTCAATTGTTTGAACGAATTGTATCTAAATTTTTGATATGAAATCGAATCCCTAACGAAGTGCAAGTCTTAATTTAGCTAATATATAGATTAAAAAACCGATTCATACACTTGTACTTTGCCTTTAATTCTATTCGAATGCATGAGCATAAGTGATATAAGCGCAACTCTATTCGTCGATAATAATTCAAAGATTTCTGTTACCCCAAAAAAAAGGTGGTACATATCTCCTATTTTTTATCAATTAAAATAAAAAAATGTGTAATTTTTTTATATTTTATTTTATTACTAAGGGTAACCCGTGTGAATGATTTCGATAAGAATGTTGGTGGTCGTTGGATGAATTTATTTGAGATCATCAGATAAATTTATTGAAATTTATCCTATTTTATATTATAGATTTTTGTAATCAACGATGACAAACAATTCAATAAGATTTACTACTAATATAACAAGATTGGGCACGATATTGTAGTGCTGTCGTCGTTTCTATCATTTTAAGTCAAAAGAGGAGAGAGTTTGAAAAACAGACACGCAATGGAAATCTTTGACACGTATATGTTTTCTACTAGTTGGCAAATGACCCAAATGTTCATATATTCACAAAAGGTTGGCTGGCCCACCGGGCTATGGGTTGGCCAGTCCATCATGTAGTGGCCATGAAATGATGTTACCCAATGAATAGAGCTGTGGGCTGTCTTTTCTGGCTCCACCATACCTTTATCAAAAGATGTAAAAAAAGATAGTTACATTAAAATTAGGCATTTCAAAATTCGATATGATATGATTAATCAACACAGGTTAAACGGGGTGACAAGCTAAAAAGATTATTGTGTTAAACCGATTCAACCCGATTTGTTTATCATAACGAGTTGTATCGTATTACTCGTTTAATAAATAAATTGTGTTTGGTTTAAAAATTTTCACACTTTTACTTAAACGAGTCGTGTATGAATTTACTAATTTTTCACACAAACCCGATTAGACTGGATTCGTATCCGTTTAACACGACACAATTGATACTCTTAACTAAAAAATTGACTAGACAGGCAAGCCCTAGCCTGACGGATAGAGGCAGGTGGGCCCGATGCCGTGATCATTACCCTTAATTAATCTTTGTTTGACTACAGAAGAATAAAATAAACTAATCAGAGTTACCTATAACAGTGAATAAGCTGGGTTAGAGGACCCTAATCCATCATAGAAAGACACAATAGAAATAGAAATAGAAATAGAAAGAAGAGGATGAACGGTTCTAAATGATTGAAAACCTAGCTTGGGACCAAGAAAGAGGTGGGTAGAAGCAATGTAAAATCAAATGGAATGTTATAAGGAATATTCCAGCATCCATCTTGATGCTGAGCAAAATGCCACTAGGAATATTCAAAGTAATAGTTGCATCTTGTTTGGTGAAAATCTTCTTCATTAAGGAATTGATATTGTTTGGGGCAAATTTTATATTTTTAGTTAATTGACAATTAACGTTACTTGTCCAATGAATAAGTTAGTTAAAGAGAATTATCAAATAACATTCATTTAAATAAAATTTGATGTACATCGAGTTGATATAGCCTGTTTAAATTCAAGATTAGTTATAATTTTTTGTAGTAGATGGACTAAAACGATTATCTTGAAATTTGAAAAGACGAAATTTGAAAAGTTATGGTTAAAACAAAGGAGAAATTGGAAGGACCTATCTGAACAAACCAGTGTGACCGTTGATGGGAAGATATTAATGAATTTTTGGTCAAATAATATTCTTTATCTTGTAAAAATTTTGTCTTTTTAAAGTAAAAATTTTAAATCCCCCTCCTCCTCTTCAAAAAATTAAAATAAAAAATAAAAAAAAAGATGTCTATATTGTCTAATTTTGATTTTGTCAAATTAACAATTGGCATAAGCAATTTTAATGCAAGATGTCACCTGTTTTCACAAAAGAAAAATGACAACTATGCATCTTGTAATATACGCGTTTTTTTTTTCAATTTATTAAAACCCAAAGGGATAGCTCAAGTGACAATAGAGACGAGCTGTAAATTCAGACGTTTTAAATTTTAATCTTAACAACTCCTTAAGGCTATGTCATGAGGGATAAATCCCTCGTGAATATCCTGGTCCTGTCTTTGACCAGATCGAAAAAAGATTAATCGAGATGTATATGAGGTAGCTCAAAAATCACAAACTGTAGAACAAAACAAAAAAAAAAAGGAATCAATTGATCATATATCAATTGAACACGCTAGACACCACTGGACCCAAAAAGGTTCCTCTATTCAAACATGTAGGATAACCTAGAAGTTCAAGTGTGTGACACAAATTCACAAAGGCTTTTAGCGACCTCCAAAGCCCCACGCATCCTTCCTTAGCACCACTATCACACCAAAGCCAATTGCCATTTCTTTTCCCTCTAATAAGATGCCCACCACAAAACTTCCAAGAGGACCTCAACAACCACTATTTCTTTTTACACATATAGCTTCTCTTGTTTCCATATGCTCATTTCTATGAGCTTTGGCTACCATTGTTTGGCTCAATGTACATCTTACCCCACCACCACTACCCTCTAAGGTCCCCACACCATGCTCGCCGGCGCCACCGCCATCTTTCCCTCACCACCCGAGTCCATTGCTCAACCACCACGACCACCGAAACAAACATGACAACAAAGTCCCTAGTCATACACCCACCACCCACCCTTGTCACGGCTGCAAATACCGCCCTTAGTAACCGCATTGTGCTCAATGACCCAACTTTGGAATCCACATGGTCTCATCGTGTATGGGTGGCAAGTGGGTGCACCACTGTGATCATCTCCCTAGCAAAATCCATATCAGGTGCCGCCGACTCACATATGTGGTTAGAGCCTATTTTCTCCGGCTTGGTTGGATACATACTCGCAGACCTTGGCTCTGGTGTCTACCATTGGGGCATCGATAATTACGGTGGTGCTGAAACTCCAATGTTTGGATCCCAAATAGCAGCATTCCAAGGTCACCACCAGTGGCCATGGACAATCACAAGGCGGCAATTTGCCAACAACATACATGCCCTTGCGCGCGCCATAACCTTCACTGTCCTTCCCATAGAACTTATCTTCAATGATCCAGTCTTGCACGGGTTCGTTGGTGTTTACTCTGGCTGCATTATGTTTAGCCAGCAGTTCCATGCCTGGGCTCATGGTACAAAGAGCAAGCTCCCTCCACTGGTGGTGGCACTGCAAGAAGCTGGTATACTCGTATCGCGCTCTCAGCACGCAGCACACCATCGTCCACCTTATAACAACAATTACTGCATAGTGAGTGGAGTATGGAATGCATTTTTGGATAAGCAAAAGGTTTTTGAGGCATTGGAGATGATCTTGTTTTTCAAGCTTGGGTTAGACCCCGGTCCTGGAGTGAACCCAACTCCGACTGGACCGAAGATACCCAAACATCTTGTTCTCAAACTACAATGCACTGATCTAATTTTTCCTTTCGTTTTATTTTCCTTGATAGATTGTACAATTTATTGATAGAAGTGTTTACAAATTGAAGTCTTTTTTAAATGTCTTCAGCAGACTGCAATCCCACAAAACAACAATGATGATAATAAGAGAGCCTAGTTATGGAGATTATAATGCAGTGTCCAGACATACCAATTCATTGCTTGAAACTCTAAAAGTCGGTAAATTTTTCCATAGTCCAGCACCGCTGGTCGCCAATCCCTACATTCCTTATTAAACTAAAACTAATAGGCCCCAACCAAATTGTAAAATCTGGGCGTAGCCTACAGGGATAGGTGCACTTACTGATGTGCATCTCTTCCAGCTGAAGGCATCTTTCCTGGACAGTCTTTAATGCACTAAGGAATAGCCAAGCAGCTTCAAACCTCAGTTTCTTCACGTTCTGCAAACTTTTAGCTAGCACATGTGCAATATCCTCGCTAAGAGTTACCTTGGATATGTGAAGTTCTTCAAGTCCTTTGCAATTTATTCCTATCTCTTCAATAATTTGAGTGTAGTGCTGGTCATCAAATTCACCAAGGTGTATAACATCAAGGTACTTCCAACTACGGATTGCCTCTGCAAACCCTTTTGCTGTTATCTTAGATGCTCCTTCTAGGAATAGAGACTTGAGACCAGGGGTCTGTTATATGAAAGATGCAGAAGGGAGAATTAAAATAACACCAAGGGGGTGTCTAGATACTAATGACGGAAGTAAAAGAAACTGAAAGGGTTGTCTAAAGTGATTTATCTTGGAATAAAGGAATTTAGTACACCAGCTTACCTCTCTGAAATGTAAAGAAGATGTTGGTCTGTGATTTCAAGATCGGAAGGAATAAGGATAGTCTGGATTGACTGCCTCCAATTTTCCAATGAATTGCCATATGCATCCTTACCCTCCATTAAACTCTTCAAAACTTCATCAATTGCACATCTTTCAAATCATCTTCTACCAATTGACTATAGTTGCCAAAGGATTCGGTGAGTAATAATACAGTCGCTTCCATTGATTTTATGTCCATGAAATTGAAATTGTGAAGGTAGACTGCAGCAGAACTCAATTCAAGCATACTATTACTCCAGAACAATAAGTCCCAACAGGTGGATTTCCATGAAAGGCAAACCGAAGAGACACTTGCAAACAAGTCATAGACATGCAGTTGATCAAATATTATCTTAAGAATATTACAATCTAAATCCTTCCATTTTCTATCCTCCAAGGGAATTTCCACTGCCAAGTTGCTGCTTACTTCTTGTGCCCTGTTTATAGAGGTCACTGTGTGTGCCTCACATGTTGGTGGTGGGCATTGCCCCTTCTCTTCCATAAAATTGTCTGCCCACCATAACAAGATGAAATAAACATGGCAAAACTCATGTCAAGAAAAATAAACTCAAACAGAATTCAGTAAGAAAGTCATACAAAATTTCAGCCAACTATCATATCATCAATTCAAATAGAAAGGACCACTTCATCCATTCACTCAAAGAACTACAATGAAATCAGTTTGTGCTTTTGCGTCCATGGCAGCAAAGGGGTTTGAACCTAAGTTGGCCAAGTCGTTATAGGTGACACATTGCTACAATGTGTTTGTGGAGTCAAGCCAAATCGATTTCAAAGGAAAAGTAGACTTTACTTTCTTCTGCAGATTTCAATAAGAGGTTACACTCAAGCAAAGAAAGGCAAAAATAAGAAGGAATGTCTAGGGCATTAGGATCTTGTCAAAGGTTATTAGGTGTTTACTAATTGTTTTATGTACATTCAGACAACAATATAAAGCCCACTTACACGGAAAAAAAAAATTATAAACTTGACACCAACAACCAATAAAGATTATGATTAGAAAAGCTAACAAATACAAACATAAAATATTACTTCCAATTGCTATGAACTAACTGAAATTGAAGAACAGATACTAAACAAACAGCAACCAATAGAAACATAAAAAGATATATACACAATTTCTTATTAGTTCCATGTTTTGATATTCAGCACGCAAACACGACACAACTTGGAACAAATCTATGAGAGCCCAGGTTTCTTACATAATTTTCTTTCGTTTTCCAGTCAATTTTTCTAAGAACCAAAAAAAAAAAAGAAAAAAAAAGGGCAATTATGAGAGGAATATAAACAAAAATAACATATTTTCAGGAAACTCATCAGATTTTTGCAAAACCCTGAAACCTATGATCAGTAAATTGCTATGGAGAGAAGTACCTGTGGTTTTGTCAAACTCTAACCCTCAAAGGCTCAAGCATTGTACACTACTGCGCATTGAAAAAGGAGACTGAAGCAGCATAAATATATAGGTATGCGGGTAGAATTTTGGGCTAAGCCCATGATCAGTGCCTTTCTAATCGATCAATCCATGAGATTTAGATTAAGCCCATGGCCGGCTCAACATAAACCCCAAATTTTTAGAGTTTAATAATATAATTTATTATAATTTACCTTACAAAAAAAATTCCTAAAAGATTAAGTCAACAAAATAAAATTTAAAATTTAAGTCCAAAAGTGCAATCCATCTCACACATACACACTTATTAAAGGACAAAAAAATGGTTAATACTTCAATAAAAAAAATATAATAAGCATGTTTCTCTTCTAAAAATAAAAATAAATCATTCACATTTTCTATTTCTCTCAAATTTGATTTTGTTCTCATTTAAACATAAAAAAATTAACTAATTAAATTATTCATTTTCATAAAGGATCCATAATGAAAATTAATTAATATCAAAAAAAATTCAATAAAATTATTATCAGAGAAAATAAAACACAATAAAATAGTAAGTTGAAGTGACATACATAAATAAGTTAAATATCATATAATTTTTTTTAAAAAATAGTAAAATAATTCAATAACGACATAACATGAAATTATGAATGTAAGGGAACCAAGTACCTACCAATCTTACACAACTTTACACTCATCCCGTCTTACACAACTTTA